ATTTTGAGTCTGGCTGAATAAGGGTTAACTTATTACTAAAAATGTCACTTAACTTATGTTAACAGAAAACTAGGTAAAAAAATTGCTCCAACTTTTAGGTCAGATTTATGTGAATCAGTAAAGCGGTTTATATTAGAAACTTTCACAAGATGTGAAGAATTCTATGCCAATTTAAAATATTTACATTTAAATCTTTTGAAATATTTTTGAAGAAAAACTGCTATCAAGGTTTAGAAGGGAGAGAGATTCAGGTATATGTGATCGTTTATGACAGGAAAGAAGGGGTTAAAAATTTATAAATATAGGGTGACATGCTTTATGGATGGATGACTCATAACAGCATTTTCAAACGATTTGTTTTACTAAAACAAAAACAAAAAAAATTCTAACTGATTTTTTATATTAGGTAAATAGCAAATAAATCTGTTTTTTAAATGTCTAAATACAAATATTTATATAATTCTTATTTTTATTTATTTATGTGTATTTATGTCAAATAAAGTAAGAATACATAAACAAATAAAAAAACAATAATATAAATAATTTTATTTAACATTAAAAAAATAAAAGATTTTTATCTAAATTCTCCTAATATAAAAAGTTCCAGTTAAAACCTTGTCAACAGAAATAATAACTACTTTATGATGTAATTCATTTTGTTAACAAAAAAGCGCCAGAATTTGAGAAAATGTTTGTAGTTTTAACTTATGTTACAAAAATTAAAAATTGTGCTTTAACTAAGCATCGTTATTTAAAGCATTAAATGCAAAAATGTTATATTTAATATTCTTTCGCATATATTATTAAAAAACTTAAGTTTTTTAACTAAATTTTATAACAAACACTTTATCATGTTTTTGTTAACTTACGTTACATGAAAATTGCAAAAGTTCATTTGTTATTGTCTTAGAATATATATAATTTATTAAGTATAAAATCTGACCAACCACAATTTGACCATGTTAGCTTCATTTTCACGCTAATTTAATTCTGATTATGCAAATAAATTCATGGTTAGAATTGTTGACAGGTATAGTATTTTGTTAAAAATACAGCTCTTGTCTGCTTAAGAGTGATCAATATTTCTTTGTAAAATAGATCATATTATATTAATATAATTTAAATGAAAAAAATACAACTTTTTATAAAACTTTTTTTTTTTTTTATTTGCATTCACTCCCAACAAGGCTGCAAGTAACCACTATTAAGTTGGGAGTTACTAGGAAAAAAAAGAACAGAGTTATAGAGCAAGGAAACGGTTGACAGAAGACTTGAAAAGTTGAAGGTTGTATGAGTCAGGAAAACATGAAGATGGGAGAGAGTTCTAAAGGATTGAAGTGCTGGGAAAAAAACTAGATGAATAAAAGTTTTTAGAGCATGCAGGGACAGATACAGTAAACGAATGAGACTTAGCTGAATGATGAGTAAACCGAGAATGAATTTTAGTTGATGGAACTAGAGATGATAACTCCTTTGAGCAGTGACCATGATAGTATTTGTAGAAAAGAGGAAGAGATGCAACTTTATGATGATGGGAAAGAGGCTCAAGCTTAGCAGATAGTCCAGGTCCAATAACATTTACAATGCATTTTTGGACCTTGTCAAGAAGAGAAAATGAATTGTTAGAAGAACCAGCCCAAATATGACAACAGTACGGAAATACAGGGACGAATAAGAGATTTGTAGAGGTAGAGAATGGAATACAGCAGTTAGCAAGTCGGCCATAGAGGGAGAGGATATATATATATATATATATATTTTTGAAATTTGATTTGTCTGAGCTGTGAATCGATGTCTTTTGGTGAAAAAAGAATCTTGCTTTTTTTTTTTTAATTTAAATGAGTTTTAGAGGTTCCTCTTCGGATTCTAAATTTATGACGGATCCTAATATTGTTGAAATTTTTTTTCTTCTAAACTATATTAACCTGGTACTCAAAAGAAAAAGAATAATATGCTTATTTTGAATATAATATTTGTTTTAATTCAAAACTAAAGAGAAAAAAATAATGTTATTTTTTTCATTAAAAAATCCCAGTCTTCATCAAACAGGGTTTAAGGTATATTTTTGCAAATATTTTTTTCACTAAAAATATTTGCAAAAATGCTCTAAAGAGTTCTAATTTTTAATAGTACTACTGTGATCAAAAAGTAAGGTGAATTTTTTTATAAAATGAAAAATCTTTATTTATTCTTCCAAATCTGTATCGTCTTCCTCAAAATAATCCCCCCCGGCCCCAATGCACTTTTGCCAACGTTTTTTCCAGTCTTCGAAGCATGCCGAAAAGTCCTCGGTAGGGATAGCCTTCAATGCGCGTGCCGATTCACGTTGGATCTCTTCAATGGACTTTGACATTGGTCGGTTGTTTTAGGGTCGTATGCGTAGACCCAAGTCTCATCACCAGTAATAATTTGTTTGTAGACGTCTTGATAGTCAGAAAGCATTGCTTCACACACTTTAAGGCGACGCTCTTTTTCAAAGAAATTGAGAAATTTCAGCACCAAAGGTGATTTGAGTCTTCTGAGGCCCAAATGATCCTCCAAAATCGCTTGCACCGACCCAAATGATATTCCAACCATGTCAACAAGGTCTCGAATGGTTAACCGACGATTTGCAAGCACCAATTCTTTGATTTTGTTGATGTGGCAATCATCAATCGAAGTCGATGGTCGTCCGGAGCGTTCCAAGTCATCAACACGTTCTCGGCCTTCTTTGAAGTCTTTGTACCACTTGTAAACACTTTTTTGAGACATAGTCTCTTCACCGAAGGCCTTTTGCAACATTCGATACGTTTCAGCAGCAGAAATATCATTCCGCAAACAAAATTTAATAGCACTTCTTTGCTCAACAAAATTAGACATCGTGAAAATCGCCGAATGCACTTTTGGTACTTCAGAAACAAGCGTAAACAAAAAAAAATAATTATAAGTTTGACACGTAATTTGGCGCAAATGTTAATGACATTCCTACCAACTTAAAAATAAAAAAGATTGGACGATTCGAATAAGGCGGAAAGTTTAAATTAAAAATTCACCTTTTTGATCACAGTAGTACGTTTATTATACTTAGATTTTTAATAGTAATAACAATAAATTGTAAAAAACGTGGTATCTAATGTTTTTTTGTTTTGACCTTACTCATTTTGTCTACGGATATGCATGCTTGTGCATTTTTTATTTATTTGTTTTATTTTAAACGTGTTTTATGTTATTAGTGTTATGAAAACTTATCTTCATAAAACAGCAAGACAAACACCGTCACAAAGTTGATTTATATTAACACTAGCTCTAAACTTTGCAGTTTGTTTTATTGTTTTTTATTGTTGTTTTTCGCTTCTACTTAACTATTTTATTAGAATTTAAATAAAATACTAGTTTTAGTCATTTTATTTAGAAGGCAAAATGTTATTTTTGCTGCTTTATTTTTATTATTTTATCTAAAATTTAAACAAAGCGTTTGTTTTTTCATTTGTACTTTAAAAACTTTAGAATTTATATAAAACAATTATTTTGCCATTTTTATTATTATTATTTTATTTAAAATTTAAACAAAGCGTTTTTAACCTTTTATTTGCTATGCATATTGATATTTTTTGCCGTATTTGTCAATATCTATTAAACTTACTGACAAATAACTGAAAACTGTAAAATTATATATAAAAAGATTTGATATAAATATTTGCAGTATTTTTTTTCTTGATTTAAAAACGTTATTGACTAATGAAAGGCAAAAAGTAAAGAAAATATTTTTGCTAAATTTGAAAATAAAGTTAGCAATAAAAATAAAGAACTAATGATTTTCAGGTTGTAAGTCCACCGCTATGTTTAAGTAAGTGTTTAACCCGTAGCGTAGCAGTTAGCGCGCTTGCCTCAGAAGCTAGAGATCCATTGTTCTACGCCACCTCTGGGCAAGTTTTACAAAATCGGTAAGGAAAGGGGCATAAAACTTTCTATCAAATGCGCTTCCGAGGTGTTCTGTGATAAAACCATAAGGACCTTTTTGGGGCACCAAAAATAAAAAAAGATAAAAAGTTTCACTTGCCACAACCTTGCTAGGAGACTTTTGATTTTATAAATCAATATATTAAAAAATAAGGGGGGAAGGGACTGTAAAAAGTTCCGTTTCTTAAAAGCAAAAATAAAAGAGGTTTTTAAAAACTAAAATTCACCTGACTGAATTGTGTCAAATACCTAACTAGTCGACTAAATTTGTCAAAAAACCGACTATAACTTAAAAATCACCTTTTTTAAGGGGGTAAAACATCCCCTTCCTCAATACACCCTCCCCCTAAAATCGTCTTTGTATGCAATATGTACGCATAAAAAATCTTCATTTCTTCAAAACCCTCTACAAATATAATACAAAATAAAATTTAGTAATCTAAAAAAGACTTTATTCTTTGTATTTTTTACGAATATTTTACATCTTAGTTGAGAGAAGTAAAAGCTAGAAATATATTATACACAAGCTCAAAGACAAGCTAACGTGAAAAACATCTACTTTTGTTGTTTTATCAAAGTAATGTAAGTAACCAAAGTAACATATAATAACTTGAGCATTTTATTTGACTAAAAGATGTGCATTTTTTTACTAAAAGATATGCATTTTTTGCTTGTGGGTTTTTATTATTTTATACTTTTTGTTGAAATATTTAAAGAATATCTAATTACTACAATAATAAAACACAAATTTTTGAAACAAAGAAATGAATTTTATAAAACTATATAATAAATATGAAGTTTATTGCTATAAAAAATCTTTAAAAATTTTTGGAAATTTTGAGCAAAATTTTCCGGAAAATTTCCAGTAATTTTCAACCCTAATATGCATATACGTATGTATATATGTATAAAGAAAGAGAAAGACTTTGCTTTGTAGTAAAAAGATGAATAAAAAGAATTTTGTTACTCTGTTATTGAAAATGGTTTGAATGCAATTAAAAAAAAAAAATCATAATAATTAACTTGGAAATATCAAAAATTAAATTAAAAAATAAAATTACCTCCTGAATCAACATTAAAGGCAACATGAGTACCACTACATTTTACAAAATCTCCACATGATAACATAACTTTTGAACATGGTATTTCACTGATGCATTCCTAAATATATTATAATTTATATGAAACTATCTGACAGATTAGGTTAATATTCTTAAACTTTATTGTTTTTAACATTTTTCTAAACATAAGTTGCATTATTGTGATACATAAACTGTGAGTTTTTTCTTACATAACTATTTTAAAAATAAATTATTCAAAAGGTTACTTAAACAACATCATGCATTAAAAGGGTATGAACTTCAAATACTTTTACTTGCTTGTAACAGAGGGGAGAAATGAAACTGCATGAAATATAGATTGCAAGAGAAAAGAAAACTTTGAATTTACATATTACAATAAAACACATCATTTATCGGTTTGTGGGATGTTTAAAAATATTACAAATTCTAAACCTTTTTGAATACGATGTTAATAGATAAAATTAAAAAACTCACCTCTTTCTTTGGAATTTTAGGAGCAGCATTTTTATACTTTGAAACTTTGAACCGTTGCATGCTTTTTCAACCTAAAAAAATATTTTATTTTATTGTATTTATATAACAGAGACCTTGAGAGAATAGTACAATGTATAATCAATTAAAAAGCGTTTGGTTCACAAATTAACCTTTTGAAAATTTGTTTTAATTAAGTTTTTATTTGTGACTTTTTGGCTACTCACATCGAAGCGTGTGTAAAAATTCACATCATGAGTGTGTTAAAAAAAAAAAGAAAAGATTCAGTTAACTAACTAGTACAGGCATATACTAACCTAACTTGACAATGCATATTTCAAGCCTCTAAAAGTAAAGTAGGGAAACGAATGTTGAAGAAATGAATGATTAAAAAATATAGATGCTTAGCTTTAATTGGCAAAAAAAACACTGTAAAAATGTAAAACGAGGATAGCAGCATAAGGTTTTTTTAGACAGATGTCAAGGAAAAACAGTTTTTAGAAGATGGTTTTGAGGAAACTTAGTTTAATAAACCAAGACCCTGTATAATGCCACTAAAAAAACTCGTGCAATCAAAGAATATCTGTAGATATTTTTGTAGCAATAAAAGTATTGTATCAGAAATTAACTAAAAAGGAAAAACATTAAATAGTTTATTCAACTTTTTAATGTTTAATCAACTAAAAATGAAAATTTAACTTAAACTCTTTAAATGTCAGCAAAAGCTGCAATTATCTATATTTTTCAGTAATTAGATACTTTTACTGACATTTTCTCCTTTATTTTGAAGGAATTAAAATCTGTAAGTTTATCTAAAAGTTAATATATGTTTTCATAAGAAATGAACTATTACATGGCGTGTTTATAACTCTTTATATATATATATATATACATATATATATATATATACATATATATATATATATATATACATATATATATATACATACATATATATATATATATATATACATATATATATATATATATACATATATATATATATATATATATATATATATATATATATATATATATATATATATATATATATATATATATATATATGTATATATATATATATATATACATATATATATATATATATATATACATATATATATATATATATATATATATATATATATATATATATATATATATATATATATATATATGTATACATATATATATATATATATATATATATACATATATATATATATATATATATATATATATATGTATATATATATATATATATATATATATATATATATATATATATATATATATATATATATGTATACATATATATATATATATATATATATATATATATATATATATATTTATATATATATATATATATATATATATATGTATATATATATATATGTATATATATATATTATATATATATATATATATATATATATATATATATATATATATATATACACATATATATTAGGGTGGATTGATTTAAAAAATTTTTGAAATTTGATTTGCCTGAGCTGCGAATCGATGTCTTTTGGTGAAAAAAGAACCTTACTTTTTTTTTTTTAATTTAAATGAGTTTTAGAAGTTCCTCTTTGGATTCTAAATATATGACGGATCCTAATATTGTTGAAATTTTTTTTCTTCTGAACTATATCAACCTGGTACTCAAAAGAAGCAGAATAATACGCTTATTTTGAATATAATATTTGTTTTAATTCAAAACTAAAGATAAAAATGTTGTTGTTTTCATTAAAAAAAACCCGTCTTCATCAAAACGGGGGTTTTAAAGTATATTTTTGCAAAAATTTTATTCAATAAAAATTTTTTTTAATAAAATTATTATTGATAAAAGAAGCATTTTTTTCTGCTTTTTTTGAGTCCAAAGTGGATATAGTTTAAAAAAAAAAAAAAATTAAAAAATAATAGGATCTGTCAAGGATTTAGAATCCAAAGAGGAACCTCAAGATCTCATCAAAATCAAAAAATATTTTTTTATATTCGTCTTTAATAGACATCAATTTGTGTTTCAGGAATATTGATTTTTAAACTTTTTTTTTTTTGCTATGAAAATCGATCCACCTTAATATATATATACATATATATATATATATGTATATATATATATATATATATATATATATATATATATATATATATATATATATATATATATATATATATATATATATATATATATATATATATGCCATACTTATGTCAGGTCAGCAAAATTTCCTGCACCCTGTTAAGAAAGAGTGAATGATTAATGGGTTATAAAGCATAACTGTTCTGTTAGGTATTTTTTGTTTAAACTTGTTTAGACTACACTACAATTACTACATATTGCTTTAATAAAAAACCTTAACTTATTTTAAATCTAAGAAAAGTTTAATAAGTTTCTAATTATTTTTTAGACCATGTTTCTTCTCCACATGTGTTTATTATAATTTAACTATTTTAAGACTAAACTTTTTAATTAAACTTTCTGAATGTACACTTGGGTGATGCAAAAAAACAACTTTTTTAAAAATAGTCTGCTGCTCTTAACTAAATGTATTCTATATAATGCAAAAATAT